CTTATTTCTTTCTTTTTAAGACAAATGTGTAGCATCTCCACTGACTGGGAACTTGTAGGTTTCCTCAACTCACCCCCCCCTTCAAAATGTCCTAAATCTCTAGAGATCAAATTTAACAACATTATATATTCAGCCAACAAACTTCATCGAGCACAGAACGTTAATTTTACATGCTGTATAAATATCTCAAGAGTTTTCTAATGGCAAAGAGCATTTAAGTAATGGAGTAGAGAGGGAAATCAATGGAGAACTCTGCTTAGTGTTGTTTAAATGTTGTATTTAAATGAATTCAAAGCTTTAAATTTGTTTCTGTTAGAATTTTTTAAAGAATACAAGTAAATATTTCCAAGAAAGATGAAAAGTTATTTTTGTATGCCACAACTGCTGCTCGAATTTTAATAGCCAAGAAATGGAAAACACAAGAATTACCAATGGTGGAAGAATGGCAGATGAAGATGGTGGAATTTATGGAGCTAGCTGACCTCACTGGAAGAATCCGCGACCACAAAGAGGAACATCAAGAAGATTGGAAGAAATTTAAAGACTATCTGAATAAATATTGTAATATTAAAAATTAGAAGATACTTGAAAGTACTAATCAGGCCTAGGATTAAATTAGGATTTAATTAAATAAATGAGATTTAGAATATTAAGAAAAGTTAATAAATTAGACTATAATTAGAATATTGTTTTGGAATAATGATATTGGAAAACGGCTAGATTTAGTTACAAGGAAAATTCAGATGGAAGGGACCAGAGGAAGTCAAGCCAGAGGAAGACGTTGGATGTTTAACTAAATAATCAATTTGTATTGTTTATGTGTTGTTATATTTTTTTATTTGTTGTTATTTGCTGTACTTGTTTTATGTTGTTTTTCTTTTTTCTTTTTTTATTCTCTGTTGTATTTGTTTTTACAATATGTGTTACATTTATAAGAAACTTAATAAACACACACACACAAAAGAATACAAGTAAATATTTCAAGACATTACGGTTTGCTAGCATGCAGCAATGTTTAAATGTCTTGAGTTCCAAATTGCATGTACCAGACCCTTTGCGCAGGAGGTTGTATGTGCATAGATTATTTAGCTATTGTTATCTTTTTGCACTTACGCTCCACCTTCCTTCAAGAAACTGAAGGCAGCATATGTCGTGACAAAGATTACGGGATTCACAAACTACTACAGGTGGCTGGCTGTCAAGTGTGCCTGCTAGATAGTCACATGGAAGAAAAAGGGCTCACCACCTGTATCTCACCTTCCAGCCGAGGCTGCAGGAAGCATTCCAGCTCTGGTCCGTGTGTGGTCCTTTCAACTCTCAGTTAGGCTTCTTGGCTTCACACGCACCTCACCCTGTACGACCTTTCTGTTTGCTCCAGGCCAGTGTTGGAGCAACACTTGCTCCTTAACAGTGAACCTTGTGGCCCATCCTATTTTTGCATCCAGCCTTGCAGTCCTGCTGTCCACGATTTTGACCACTCGCTATCTCACCCATACACTTGCCAGTTTGGAACAGGAAACTTAGGAGATAATTGGGGCCCCATGCAGGATTTTCCGTGCTTTGTGACTGGATGCAGATCTTGCTGTCTGACCTCTTCTCTCTCTCGCTGTCTAGTGAGCCAGTCAGTACCAATTAGGTAATTGATCCATCATAATATGTTTCAGCCTGATTGCCTGTAATTGATGCTTCCTGCAAGCATTTTTGAGCCAGGCCCCTAATGAAAGCAAATATAGGATCTTCCTGTTCTTAATATCAGAGTTCAAGCGAGAAATGTAGGAACCAATTAGATCATCCAAATGGACATTCATGGCTTGATATTTTAAATGTGCCTTTAAAAAACCCCCACAAGTCTAGCATTAATACGAAGGGAGATAATCTGTCACTTACAGCATAGCATATATACATCCTTTAGCTAGCAGCTGGGTCTCTACTAACACGGCCGACTGCTGCAACCTCCCTCCTCCCCTTGGTAATCTGTATAGCCGGTAGCCATAAGGGACAATTCTCTGAAACTCACTAGAGGGAAGTGAAAAGGGTTGGTGGCTATAATAGTCTGATAAATGTTCTGGAAAGCATGCTCATTCAGATGGAAGAACCAATCCTACCACTAAATGGTGCTGCAGTTTGGCTCCAGGCTGCTAGCATCTGCGTATTAGTGCTGTTCATTCATCCTGATGTTCTTCAAAAAGAGGTCTGGGCTGGAGCTCACTGGGGGTTTGATCTAATGCTTCCTAGCCCTTGTTGCTCACGGTTACATAGATTTTAGGTTCTTCTGTCTGAGGCTCAGACAACGATCGAGACAAATGTTGAGGGAGTTCCTTCTCCCCTTCAGCCCTACCCACCCGCCTCCCAGTTCCTTCCTACTATTAAACACAATTGAATTCTTTTATACCATTAATTCCCCCCATAAAATGTTGTGGCGCTTCTTTATACAGATAAACGTAAGGCCCCTCTAGCATTTTCCAGACCCGGATTTAACTGTCGATTGTAAAACTCTGTCCTTTAGGAATACTTTAAGGGCATGAGAGTTTATGAGAAAGTTGTTGGAACACTGAAGATAATTATATGTTTTACTACAACCTAAACCAACATTTCCATTTCTAAATCCTAGTCTGGAAACCACTAGCGTCCACTGTAAAGTAGTTATCTAGCCCTAAAACCTTGTGGTATTTCAACACTACTGTTGGTGGTGTTTTTATTTTTGGACCTCTTTTGTCCATGAAGGATGACTTCCTCTGGGCAATTACTTTGGTTTACCAGATTTTATGTCTTGACCTTCTGTAGATTGTCTTGCACAAAGAGCCTGATTCTAGGCTCTGGAGCCCAATTCAAGCTTTGCATCTTGCTGCCAAAAGGCTTCTCACACACTATAATGGTAGCATATGCAATCAAGCTGAGTTGAAGGTGAGATTTGTATTTATATATAATGCACATGTATTTTTTTGTTGTGGTGTAAACTGCACAGAGACATCTCAAAACACAAATGCATGCCGCTCCAGCACAGGCTGTGCTCTCCCATTTGGGAAAAGCTTTTTGGTGGTGCGCATGCCGGAGCGTGCAGTGTATAAATGCTACCACAGCACCCTTTAAGCCTAACAGGGCTGCATCTCATGGTTAATACTATCCCTACCTAGAAGTAACTTCTCTTCTATTTCGAAAATATAGTAAAGGTAAAGGGACCCCTGACCATTAGGTTCAGTCGTGACCGACTCTGGGGTTGCTGCGCTCATCTCGCTTTATTGGCCGAGGGAGCTGGCGGACAGCTTCTGGGTCATGTGGCCAGCATGACTAAGCCGCTTCTGGCGAACCAGAGCAGCGCACGAAAACGCCGTTTACCTTCCCATCGGAGTGGTACCTATTTATCTACTTGCACTTTGACGTGCTTTCGAACTGCTAGGTTGGCAGGAGCAGGGACCGAGCAACGGGAGCTCACCCCGTCGTGGGGATTCGAACCGCGACCTTCTGATCGGCAAGTCCTAGGCTCTGTGGTTTAACCCGCAGCACCACCCGTGTCCCTTTTTCGAAAATATAGCCAACAATAAATAAGAAGACAGTATAGAATACAACAATCAGTGCAGGGTGTTGTTGCTTTTTGAGGTGGGAGGGAATGGGAGAAGGGCTGCCTTGGGAAATACATTCCCGCAAGGCCTCCCTCCCTGAATGTGCACAGTTCACCCACCTTGATCTGCTCCTTTGTTTGCTTCTCCCTCTGGGCCCAGTCTGCATTTGCTCCTAGCAGGAGAGGACAAGACACGAGGAGCTTAGTGCCTCTCCTTGCTCATCTCACTGCTTGCTCTTTGAGAGAGGGCAAGGAAACAGGCAACGAAAGCAGGGCAAGAAGGCTGACGGGATTGGCAGTGGGCCCCTGCTGGGCAGCGAGCCTTGGCAAGTGCCCAACAGTGCCGAACCCCTGACCCCAGCCACGGTGATAATAATAGATAGATCACAATGGCAGAATCTGATCTGCTGCAGCTTGTTCTGAATACTAAAATCCATGAGCAGACAATGCGAGGGGCTGTTTAGTCTGATAGTTTATGGAATATTAATATTACCTTTCTGAAATAGGTTTGTTTCTTTTGTTATCCCGCTTTCTAAAATAGCTACCTCTGTTTAGGAAAGCGCTTCAGATAATAACTTTCATATTATGCTGCCGTCAGCAATATTTGACTACCTACATACAGGCTTGCCACAACTTCCTACTTGCAAAGCACTTCCATTTCATGATTGAGTAACATGTGAGAGGCAGTTTATTGTACATGTCCTGCATGACTCCATTTTCCTGTATCCTACATACTAACTCATTCATAGAACATGAAGGCAGAATTCAACGTAGCACTAAGAGTGTGTGTGTGTGTGTGTGTGTGTGTGTGCGTGTGTACACATAGAATGAAATCAACAGGACTCCTCCTCTCCTCTGCCTCATGTGCCCCCTCAACTTGTTATGGGTTCCGTCCCCCTCCAGAGCATATTTAGGGGGTGGGTGGCTTGCAGCAAGAGAGAGGAGGGAGAAAGCCAATTATGTGAGTGGACCTTGTTCCATGCACACAACTTGGTTGAATTCCACACTAGGTCCTTCTGTAGCCGTTTAAAAACAAGATGGAGGTATCTGGCACTGGGCCGAAAAGCTCTCACATGCACCCCTTAACAGAACTGTTTCTGTCATGTGGAAAGGTGGTTCTGCCACTTCCACAAGGGTAGAGGTGAAAATGCATTTTTGAAGGCGGGGTGGTGGTGTTTTTCTATATAATACTGGGTGGAAGAGGATTTTCTCATGTTTCTCCCTTCCTTTTAAACAAACAAGGTTATGCATAGGTCCTGTTCAGTAGGTCTGTACTAAACATGGCTAAGTCTGGATCCAGCTCTCTTTATATATCTACCCCCTGAAACTACAAAGGAAATCTGTGTTTTATGCCGCTTATGTTTAATTAATTCACATACCTTTGTAGACCAGCATGTGTCTGGGTCTCTTTTAATTCTTTATGTTTTGTCTCATCCCTTAGGTTTCGTCACAGCCCAAATTGCTTTTACTTGAGAGACTGGATCATCCACAGCTGGATCAGGCAATGCCTGAAGTTTGGGGCACAGGATAAAGCTTTGTACACTTTGCAAAATAAGGTGATGCTTTAACAAGACATTTTTTCAAATGTTGTTAAACGTACATAAGTTAGCTACATCTGAAACCTTTCTGTGAATGTGTCTCCCGTTCAAAAGACTGCACTCTTTGTTTACAATGAAAGTGTGGAATTTTAGATAAACTTCATGCAATCTCTGCTGTTTCCTTTTCGTAGTGGAGCTGACCAGCCAAATTTAAACAAGTCCCAGCTATTTCCAGGGTGCGGGTGGGGAGTTAAACCCATGCTTATGTATATATCTCCTGCTGGAATCAGTGTGACCTGAAAATGTTCTTTATTGTCTGAATTGTGCCCACTGCTTATTTTAAAGTTCTGCATTGAATGGATTATTTAATTTATTTGGAGTATGGTATTGTGGAACCAGGGACGCGGGTGGCACTGTGGGTAAAAGCCTCAGCGCCTAGGGCTTGCCGATCGAAAGGTCGGCGGTTCGAATCCCCGCGGCGGGGTGCGCTCCTGTTGCTCGGTCCCAGCGCCTGCCAACCTAGCAGTTCGAAAGCACTCTCGGGTGCAAGTAGATAAATAGGGACCGCTTACTAGCGGGAAGGTAAACGGCGTTTCCGTGTGCGGCTCTGGCTCGCCAGAGCAGCGATGTCACGCTGGCCACGTGACCCGGAAGTGTCTCCGGACAGCGCTGGCCCCCGGCCTCTTGAGTGAGATGGGCGCACAACCCCAGAGTCTGGCAAGACTGGCCCGTACGGGCAGGGGTACCTTTACTTTACCTTTATTGTGGAACCTGCTGTGAGCCTTGTAGGCAGCATCAACAAGATGTTTTCTACCCAACTCAGAAATGCTTTGAACAGAAGTGGGCAATAAATGGCTGTAGATAACCATCTTTGCATTTCCAGAGGCACATGATCCTTCCAGCATTTATTGTTTAGCTTTTTGGCTTTTCCTTTTAGCTTAGATTTTAAGTTGGCAGCGGATGATGTCTCCTGCTTTAGTGATGCAGAGACATTCTTATGTCTGCGCACAAAGGAATTAGGTCTTGCTCCTAAGAGGACCGAAAGACTTGTGGGGAAAATTATGCAGGAACCATCCCCTTACAATCTACCGCTTGGCAAGAAACACAGTGAAGTGACAGTCATCCCTGAACAATCTTTGCCTCTGGCATAGAGTATAAAGGGCTCTTCCACACTGCACATTGCTAAATGTATTCCTGTGCAATCTTACTGCAAATTTTAACTATAGGGAATGTTGGAAGAATGCATGCATACAGGTGGCTGCTTGCATGAAGGCACAAGTTTCTGACTGCTGTTTCTGTGAAGCGTTTTTAAAACCCTGCTCTTCAGCTTCGAAGGCTCCCAGAGCACCTTCGATGAAATCGATGAAAACAAAGACTTCGTGATGGTGAAAAAAAGCTGTAGCAGCAGTATCATTGCTGCATGTAGAGCTCTGTCTTTCTTGTTGAAGGACTACCTTAAGAGCAGAGACATTGCTGTAAGTTGGCAAACGTAGCTTTACTAGGTCCCACCCACCCACCCCCAAAGAACACAGCTCAGAACAATCCATGCTATCAGTTTTGAACATCTGAAGCCTATGAGAGCTCTGGTGGCCCAAGTGGATAGGCAGTAAGGGATGAATGGCCAGCTACATGCAGTTGCAGTTTTCTACTTGCCTGGTTAGTACTGGGCAGTGGTATGTTCCAAAGGACATTCTTCATCCTCCTCCCATTTCAAGCAGTGAAAGACAAGTAAAAGTGGGAGATTTACTGGTCCAGGCATCCCCTTGACCTTGCTGTACTGTGTTACACAATCATATCATAGTCCAAAATGAGATGAGATGCTAGAAGTATGACTGTTGTGCTTTCCACTTGTTTTTTGCAGGTTCAGTATGGAATTATCCCAGACTATTTTACCTTCAATATATTGTTGGATTCTTTTATAAAGGATGAGAATTATGAAGGTAAGTAAGCATATGTCAGCTGCTGGTCATCATGATCTTCCCTGTTTCTTCATATTTATATATGCCCCCCTTTCGACCTCTTTCTGTTCATCTGATTTGCCGTGGTTTTAATGGGAGGAGCAAAAAAAAAAGTAAAGAACACTGAAACATGCCTTTCTACTGAGTCAGGACATTGATCCTTCCAGCTCAGTATTTTTGACATCAACTGGCACCAACGTTTCAGAGTTTTCAGCAAGATTCTTTTCTCAACCCCAGTGCCAGTCATGAGCCAGAGAACTTTTGTATGCCTAGTGCATCTTCTACTACTAAGCCTCTGCAGCCCTTCTGCAAGAGAGGAGGTAAAAATTGAGCAGGTTGGGGTGGGTGTGTTATTAATGTAATCAAATCACCCAATTCATTTCAACGTGGGTTGACTGAAAGTTCCTCTGTATCAACATTATTTTCCAAAGTTCTTTAGCTGACACGGCCTCCTAGTGGAAAGTGCCATCCTTACCTTAAGCACTTCTAAAGCCGCTCAGGAAATAATTCCAGATGGTACATCATCCAAGAATTTGTGCATTGTTGCTCGTATTGAGATGCTGTGCCCTCCAGCAAACTTAGGGCTTGTTGTCAAGAGACCTTGCCTTAAGCTGATAGCCCCCGAATTCATTTTGGAGTTAGCTTTGTTGACACAGTCCATGAAGTATTCTTTGATTAGGGTGTTTGTGAGTTTAAAGTCCTTAAGTGTAAAGTTGTGGTCTTGCCTCCCGCTTGCGTACCATGACTCTTATCCTCTCTCACTCCCATTTTAATTTTGAGGAAGGTCTCCTGGCACAGAGCGGAACTGTTGCATAGATAAGATACACCAGCTTTGTGACTGCATCCAGCTGTTTTCCTTATGTGCCTCCTGGTTCTGCAAAGGGGAAATGTGTTCTTCTTCTGATGCTGCATTTTTTTCCCGCATCAAGATTCCAGTGTAAAAGAGGAAAGCACACTCGTGTCTTTTGAAACTAATGTGGGAAGAAGAGTCTTGGCAAACCACTCCCTTAATTTTTAAATGCTTTGTTTATTGTTAGATGCGATGGCTGTGGTCACTGAGATAATGATACAGGAAAGTTTTGACGAAGTTTCTACACAACTTCTCTCACTCTACGTGATGTACAAGTATTTGACAACCAAATCAGAACTTATGGTAAGCTGTAGCTCAGATGGTAAGATACATGAAGGGGTACGTGCTCCATTCATCTGACTAGCATTACAGAAGAGTCAACGTGGGCCAGCTTGTATCAGAGAATATATTTTGCATGATGGTGAAAACCAAGCAGCAGATGTGACAGTAAATGTAACAGCAATGTTTGCTATTTTCAGTGGGAGGAAGAGAGGAATCTCGGAGCGTCCCTCTTCTTGGCAGGCCTGAAGGAGACCAACACAGTGGGATTCAGTTCCCAGCTGTATGGCTTAGCACTTCTCGGTAAGTTATATAGTGTTTCATTACAAGCACTTTACCGTTCTGCTTTGTTGGTTGATTAAAAGTAGCTGGATTAGTGAGATTCTTCGATTTAAATTCTAATACAGTGGTACCTCAGGCTAAGAACTTAATTCGTTCTGGAGGTCCGTTCTTAACCTGAAACTGTTCTTAACCTGAAGCACCACTTTAGCTAATGGGGCCTCCCGCTGCCACTGCGTGATTTCTGTTCTCATCCTGAAGCAAAGTTCTTAACCTGAGGTACTATTTCTGGGTTAGTGGAGTCTGTAACCTGAAGCGTATGTAACCTGAAGTGTATGTAACCCGAGGTACCACTGTATAGCCTTTGACAGGTTGCAAAATTAGAACTAAATCAAGTTTTGTGTTTTGGCATGCAGTCCAAATAAATCATAGATGTGTGAAGTTCAAAAATCAACTGGATGTTGTTGTTGCTGCTTTAAATTCCTGCTGAATGCATGAAAATCCCAGTTGGTTGAATCATAGAATTGTAGAGTCGGAAGGGACCATGATGGGGACCGTCTAGTCCAACCCCCTGGAATGTGGGAATCTTCTGCCCAACGTGGTGCTTGAACTCACGGCACTGAGATTAAGGGTCTTATGCTCTGCCAACTGAGCTTTGTATGTATGAACCCTGCTTCCTGCCAAGTTCTCTCTCTCTCTACTCCCACCCATTATCCCTAAGCTGGGGGGCAGGCAGGAATACCTACCTTGGAAAAAGAGTAAAGGGTAACAAGTGATGGATGGCTCACTTCAACACAAAACAGGGCCTACAAGGCTACTGCAAGTGATGTACAGGGTGCCATTTTCTACTGGGTATGCAGCTAGTAAGAACATAAGAAAAGACTAGTCCAGCATCTTGCCTCCCACAATAGCCAAAAAGATGCCTATGGAAAGCCCACAAGCAGGACCTGAGCATCACTCCCCTTTTTGGTGCTTCCCATAAACTGATATTCATAGATACACTGATGCCTCTGATACCAAAGGTTGCTTATTTATTCCTCATGCTCAGCTCAGAGGTTGCTAAAAACAGTCATCAGAAAAATGCACAATTAAACATAACAGTAAAATAAACCATCGGATATAGTATTAACAGACAGTGGTATGGCAGAGTAAAGTAATTCTGATTTTGTGCAGAGGCCAGATGAAATAAATGTGTTTTAAGTTGTTACTTGAATAATAGCAACAACAATTTATTATTTATACCCTGCCCATCTGGCTGAGTTTCCCCAGCCACTCTGGGCGGCTCCCAATCGAGTGTTAAAAACAGTACAGCATTAAATATTAAAAACTTCCCTGAACAGGGCTGCCTTCAGATGTCTTTTAAAAATAGGATAGCTGCTTATTTCCTTGACATCTGATAGGAGGGCATTCCACAGGGTGGGCACCACTACCGAGAAGGCCCTGCCATATGAGCAGCCCCATAGACCATGTCCATTGAGGGAACCATGAGCAAGGCCACCTAGTATGGAGTGTGGGTGAGTGGGTGTTTGTGTAATTATCCTTTAAGTCATGGGTAGTCAAACTAAGGCCCGGGGGCCGGATCTAGCCCAATCGCCTTCTAAATCCGCCCCGCGGCGGTCCAGGAATTAGCCTGTTTTTACATGAGTAGAATGTGTGCTTTTATTTAAAATGCATCTCTGAGTTATTTGTGGGGCATAGGAATTCGTTCATTATTTTTTTCAAGTTACAGATAGGTAGCCATGTTGGTCTGCCATAGTCAAAACAAAAAAAATTCCTTCCAGTAGCACCTTAAAGACCAACTAAGTTAGTTCTTGGTATGAGCTTTCGTGTGCATGCACACTTCTTCAGATACAGATCTGAAGAAGTGTGCATGCACATGAAAGCTCATACCAAGAACTAACTTAGTTGGTCTTTAAGGTGCTACTGGAAGGAATTTTTTTTATTTTTTTCAAAATATAGTCCGGCCTCCCCACAAGGTCTGAGGGACAGTGAACCGGCCTCCTGCTGAAAAAGTTTGCTGACCCCTGCAAAGTTTAAGTACTTGAGTCCTTAACTAGGACTAGTTGGGTTGTCTGTTTTTGTTTCTGTTATGTATTTTCTGTTTTTTATAAAGTGGTACCTCGGGTTAAGTACTTAATTTGTTCCGGAGGTCCGTTCTTAACCTGAAACTGTTCTTAACCTAAAGCACCACTTTAGCTAATGGGGCCTCCTGCTGCTGCCGCGCCACCGGAGCACAATTTCTGTTCTCATCCTGAAGCAAAGTTCTTAACCCGAGGTACTATTTCTGGGTTAGCGGAGTCTGTAACCTGAAGTGTATGTAACCTGAAGCGTATGTAACCCGAGGTACCACTGTATTGTGATTTTATGCTGTGAACTGCCCTGAGATCAACGGGTGTAGGAAGATATACAACATCAATAAAAAATAGTAGTCCTTGATAGCTGTATCCTCTATTAATTTGTATAATCCTCTTTTAAAGACATCAAAGTTGGTGGCTATTGCTACATATTGTGACTCCCAGTTGTGCTGTGAAGAAGTCCTTCCTTTTGCGGTTTTCAAACTACAAGCACCATGATCCCTAGCAGTAGATGAAGCTCTAGGCATCATTTGCATCTAAGATGAGTCCTTGTGAGGTTTCTTCTGTATCAGACTAAGACCATTCATTCCTTAAGAAGGGTGGGAGAGCAGAGCACCAGCAGAGGTTTGGCGTTTATTTTGAGTTGGGCCAAGCTTGAAGGAGGCAGGACCCAGCTCAGAATGGGACCAGATTTTTTCATGTTGTGGTGCATTTTGAGTTCACACCTTTAAAAACTTTTTCTTTTCCTAAAATAAAGAATTGTTTTCCATAGTTTCCTAATCACCAGAACACCAATAGCAGATATAAGAAGCTATATATATTGACCTGGAAGGAAAGGGAAGGGTGTCAACTCAAGAGCAACTCTTCATCCTGTCTCTCCACATGATTCCATAAACCCACTGAGATTCCACACCTTTGGGGAGGTGGGATTAATTTTGAGGCCACAGTGTCTGAAGTCCCCTGTTTCAACACCCTTCCTATGTTGTATTATGATTTTATTTCATACAAGGTTAAAAGTCCATGAATGAATGAATGAATGAATGAATGAATGAATGATGAAAGTTTTGCCCTTCTCCATTCCTAGCTGTTAATGGCATGTTTACCCTTAGGTGCAATACAGTTTTAGTAAAAAAAATAAAAAGTTGGATAGTTGCTCTCTCTCTAAGTTTCACAGCTTGTTAACAATGATAATAATGCCCGTGACAGGTCAGGGGGAGGGCGCTGATTCTGATTTTACCTGACTTTAAGACAAAACTGCAGATGCAGTAGGAACCAAGATGAAAACTGCCGCAAATTGGCAGAACTGTTGGTTTGCTTTTCGCTTGAGCTATTGATAGATAAATGCATTCCTCCTCTCTTTGGTTACTGCAGGCGTATGTATGTATGTATGTATGCATGCATATTTAAATATAGCCCAAATAATATGGGAAGGCCTTGCACTTAGCAAATCATTTTACTGTTGTGTGCTAGTGACCCTGCTGACATTGAGATTCAGAAGATCAAAAGCTATTTTCTGCTATGTCACATATTCTGCAGTCTTGCCAGCTCTAATGGACTAGACCTCTGCAAAGAGTGAAAGATGTCTGTGGGCATAGACTGGCCTGGAGCACCTTAGCAGTTTATATTTAGCCATCGCCCAATGAGCGTTTGTTTGCACACACGTTCCTGTGCTTCTCTGTGGCTTCCCTGTTTGGGGAAGAGAGATGAAGGTGTGTCACAGTGGTTTTCATTGTTAGATGTACCTTTGTGATTAACGTAGACAGTTAAAGGTGATAGAAACTCCAGTAAGAGAAGCAAGGCCACATCTGAAATGTTTAACATCAATGATTGGGTTTCACCAGAAAGACAACAGCAAGGGGTGGATCCTGCTAATAAATAATTTTAGGTTAGGCATTGCTCAGGTTTTAATCCACACATAGTTTAGGATTACTTGAAGTGTTACAATTTTCATACGCAGAAAAGGTCTTTCAAAATAGACAAACAGATATGTGCCTGAAGATATCTGTGTAACTTCCTGCGCATGGGAAAACAGTAATATGTGTTGCAGCTCTTGGTGCTATGAGTATACAATAATCAAGGAAACCAAATATTGTCTCTAGGTAATAAAGGACACTAATATGTCATGTGCAAGTTAAGTCTAACACTATCCTCCAACTCCTCTCACTGTACACAAAATAGTGTGAATATTTTGAACATTGTTTGGCTCTTTCCAAGTTCAGGAAACTTACAGATATGATCAAGCAGAGAAGGAGACTAAGGATTCCCACTCCTCCTCCATGTGAGGTAGTTCTTGAGATCTACCTGACCCTCAGGAGGGGTTTTTGTTGTATGTTTGGGAGGAATAATGTGGCTATTCGAGGCCAAACTGAGGTGGGAATGGAAGCAGAGGTTTAACTCTTTCCTCCCACACCATTGTCCTGACAAAACTCTTCCCTTGGTGCTATGTTAATAGCAAACAAGTAGAGATTTTCATCAGGACCCCAGCAGGGGAGAAAATAATTAAGTTTTCTCTTCCAACATGCTGTAGCCCCAGTGAAAACCAAGGCGCCCTGGATTTGCTGTCCAAGTAAAGACACTGACATGATTCACAGTGATGTGTTTAGCATCTCGTCTACTTTGAGTACAGGAAAGATGCTTCCAATTTTAACGGTGCTTTCTACTTTAAATAATGCAGTAACACTCACAGTGTCTGTTTTAATAATAACAGGAAAAGTGGAGCTGCACAAGGGGCTACGAGCTGTGTACCACAAAATGCCGCTCATGTGGACCCCCGGGTACCTGAACAGAGCCTTGCAAGTGATGGAGAAAGTGACGTTGCTTCCTGATGATACAAAGCTCTGCAAGGAAGCTGTAAGTGGAGAACTGTTGTTTTACAAAGCAGGGCCTTGTGCATTTTTGAGAAGAGAGCCTATGGGTTTTCAAAGGAGACGAGCAGCGTAGTGGCTACTGCTGTTTGCCCTGATGTTTTGTGTTGCTCAAATTTCTGTTGAACTGATTGCATTCAGTGGCATTTTTCTTCAACTTGAGGAGGAACATCCTTACAAAAGACGAGAGAGGCATACCTAGAAAGGGCGACTTTTTGCTTTTCAGCTTCTTGCTTCTGCTTCTGACTTGGAGGGTGCCTGGCAGAGTTTTCCCTTTCACCCTCTGCTCCTCATGTAGTGGGGGGAATGAATGGCATATTCTGGACTCAAGTAAAAAAACAGTATAGATTATTTATTTATACTTCTGCTAAGCAGTTTACAAATTAAAAAAAACCTAAACATATAAACACACCCATAAAACAATTCAGAGCATTAAAATAAACAGCCATTGTTGAAATGTACAGTAAAACAACCCTGCTGAAAGAGTTAAAACAGCAAATAAAGCAGGACGTTCAAATCAGGGCATGAGGGGAATGCTTGCCTAAACAGGTTTGTCTTTAGGAGCCCGTGGAATGCCCATGCTGATGGGCCTCTCATATTTCAGCAGGGAGAGTAAAGTTAATAGAGAAAGATTTCCCCTTCCAACTTCTCTAGAGTTGTATGAAATAATCATTTCTCCTGTTGGCATGCATGGGTGGGGAACCTCTTTCAGTCAGGGCCGCGTTGCTTTTTGGGCATCCTGCGTGCCAGTGATGATCAAAGCCAGAGGCAAGAGTGGGCAGAGACAGGCATGCAACTCTTATCTTTGTGCAGTAGGAAACATGTCAGCCATGTACACACACAAACCCAGGCAAGCAAGAGGCATTGTCACAGATCAAGGGCATATTCCAGCCAAGCGAAACCACTGGAGAGTGCATAGAAGGGCTGGAGACGAGTATGGACTTAGGAGGGGGCATGGCCCAGGAGAGTCCTGGAGAACCACATCCACCGTACTCCTCACATGGCCTCACTGAGTGACCTTGGATGTGGGATTGACACAGAGGGAACAGGAGCTACTAGTGCCTTGCAAGCTTCCTATTCTTCTGCATTTCTGCCTTGTCCAAAATACAGCTTTTGCTCTGCCCCCCAGGTGGCTTCCATTGCAGAATCAGCTCACTCCATCCCACCCAGGCCTGCCTTTCTCTCCTGTCCATTATCAAAGAGAGGGAGCCAATAGATGAATCCACTGAAAATCAAATGAACACAATGAGCTCATGATGCATTTCAGCAAAACAGGAATTGAGATGCCAGCTGACTTTATATAAGTGCACAATAATCTCTTCCAATACACATGTAATAATTGTGGAATATCAGTAAGAGCCTATGTGACCTGTCCAGAGCCAATCATAAAATCAATAGTAATTCCAGAAAGGCTGGGCTTAATTAAATAGCTTCTCTCACTAACTTTCAAAAGAAAAACAAGACTTGCCTTTAATTTCCCAGGGTTTCATTTCATAGCAATGGTAAAATAATTCACTGCCGACGCTATCAAATTACATTTTTTGTTTGTGCCTTTATGGTTTTAAAGTTTATGCATTCCGTCTACAGTAGACCATCTCAGAGACCCTGGGCCATTTTTCTGCAGTAGGACCTGGACAAAAAAATGTGCAGCCTTAATAGGACAGGAAAGTCTTGAATTTGAAAAATAGTGAATTAGAGTATTGTCTGCTTGGCCTTCTGTTTATGACCTTCTAGCACTGTTGCTCTTGTGTGATCAAATTTGATCCATAAAGGTTAGAAATGATCTATAATGAATTGAAAAAGGTATTTAAATATACCTTTCCCAAGAAACCAGAGGCCTTTCTTTTGGGCATTGTTGGCCAAATGGTGTCAAAGAAGGATAGAACCTTTTTTATGTATGCAACAACAGCAGCAAGAATACTTATCGCAAAGCACTGGAAGACTCAAGATTTACCCACCTTGGAAGAATGGCAAATGCAACTGATAGACTATATGGAATTGGCAGAAATGACTGGCAGAATCCGAGACCTGGGAGAAGAGCTGGTGGAAGAGGACTGGAAGAAATTTAAAGAATATTTGCAAAAGCATTGTAAATTTTATGAATGTTAGAATGATGCAGGATATGAAGATAATATGGTATTAGTGATATAGTTGAAAGGTATATGCAAAAATGGTTAATAGAACAAAGGTGAAGCCAGAACAATATTATGTCAAATTTAAATAAAAGGAAATAATGGGATATAATTGGAGACATAATACTGGAAACGTATAGTTTGAAGTAGGATGTGAAAGAAGATGAGGTATTGCTGAATAAGATTTTGTAAAAAGGAACGCAGAAAAGGGAGATGCGAGGGAGTCCGGAAAGAGGGCTATGAGAACAACATCTGAGAAATTGGTTTTTTCTTTTTAATGTCGGTTTAGGTAATTTTTTCCTACTGTTATTGATGGGTTGTTTTTTTTTCTTACCGAGTTTTTCTTTTTGATTTTGAGTGGTGTTTTTCTTTTTTTCTTCTTTCTTTATTCTGTATGGCGAAGTTTGTTTTTACTTGTGAAAATTTAATAAATATCTTTTTAAAAAAAGGTTAGGAATGCCCCTCCTTTTTTAAACTAATAGGTGGTATTCTCAGGAATTTTAACAAGACTCCAGAAGCTGCATAAAAAGGCCCACAGGAGCAGTATATTGACCATCCCTGTAATTTAGGCAACAGTGATGCCCTTCAGTTTTTCTAAACAGCACTTATTATCTTTTTCTCATTTCTGTTGCAAAGATTGATGTTCTGGCAGCCACTTTGCAGCCCATCCCTGTGACAGAAGTTTCCCCGGAGGACACCAAGGACTCAGAAGAAACACCGAAGGAAGCGAAATCGGAAGAAGCAGAGATGTCACGACTGCCTGAGTACTTGAACCGATTTGGGGTATGCAGTGTCTCAGCTTTCCCTCTTTCCAGCTGGTTTTAATTAGCATGATTGTCTGTAGCAAAAAAGAAAAGAGTGCATCTTTCTTCTTCTTTATTCTGTGACACTAAGGCTCCATTGGTGTCCCACCACAAATGCTATTGGGGCTTTTGGATGCTGACATTGAATTCATAGAGTTATAGAACTGTCAAGTTGGAGGGAATACCAGGGTCATCTAGTCCACCCCCCACCCCTGCCATGCAGGAATCTTTCGCCCAACATGGGGCTCAAACCCATGACCCAGAAATTAAGAGTCTCATGTTCTACCAACTGAGCTATCTTTTTACTGCTTCAAACTGGGAATTGCCTTTCTAAAAAGTGTCCCTTGTCTGCTGTCTGGCTGCAGGGATGTTATTTTTGCATTTCATACATCAGACTTGGTAAGCCAAACTCCTGCTAACTAAAATGGAGTGTCACTCCTGATGAGTTGCTTGGTCTTTCACTATCTCTGGCATCTAAGGGCACAGTTTAGATGCATTCCCCTCTTTGGGTCAATGCAGTTTAATAGGTCTTTCCCCCTTATGCAGCCTGCTAATGACTGTAAGAAAATAGTCGCAATTTTGGTCCTGTGTTTAGTTCTAAGAAGGTCCACTAAACGAGTAAATGAGATGGTTTGCCTGGGGTTTTTGTTTCGTTTTGAGGCCCAGCCTTTTCCTGCATTCCCTTTCCCTCATTGTGGTTTTTGCATGATTTATCGCCCTGTCACTGGGGAAAGCACCCTTTTATAGAAATGGCACAGAGAGTATTCTACAGATTTATACCTACAGTGTTGTTCTAAGAATCTGTTCCTTGGTGAGATGTTTGAGTCTTGGCAAGTTTGCTGAATGAAATGTGCAGCTCAATCCGGCATATGTTTCCTCGAAAGTAAACCCCACAGATTTCCATAGGACTTGCCACATAGAGACTGAGCTAAGAATCAGGAAATTTCTGGCAGTTCAAATCTTGTCCCTGCCATGAACTCACTAGGGGAAATTTGTTTTCTCTCAGCCTCAGTTCCATGCTCCCTCCATCTGCAACCCTTACAGAGATGTTGTGAGGATTACAGCTAGATATAGTAGTACTACAGACTACAGATTAGTCTGAAGAGAGCTTGAAGACTGGAATGTATTATACAGATGTTAAGCCTTTTTATTGGGTGTGCATAGGAATGTAGGCTTCGTTTCTTTCTGAAATGAATCAGGGAGGGACGCTTGCAAGAAAGTTCTCTGATTACATCGTAGAGGAGGTAAAAAGAAAAGCCTTTTATTAGTGAGCCTGTAAGAGACCTGGTGGACTGGTTAGTGTAGGCCAGCAGTAGATGATAAGGAAGCTTTCCCCAGGGATAAAACGTGAGAACAGGGATGGGGAGCCTGTGGTCCTCTTACGTTTTGAGCTATATTATATACATTACCCCTTGCTATTGGCCATGCTGGCTAGGACTGATGGGAGTTGGAGTCCCACAGCATCTGGAGAGGCCACACGTTTCCTGCTCCTGGATTAAAGCTATGTTTGTTGTTGTTTAGTCGTTTAGTCGTGTCTGACTCTTCATGACCCCATGAACCAGAGCACGCCAGGCACTCTTGTCTTCCACTGCCTCCCGCAGTTTGGTCAAACTCATGCTGGTAGCTTCGAGAACACTGTCCAACCATCTCGTCCCCTGTCGTCCCCTTCTCCTTGTGCCCTCCATCTTTCCCAACATCAGGGCCTTTTCCAGGGAGCCTTCTCTTCTCATGAGGTGGCCAAAGTATTGGAGTCTCAGCTTCAGGATCTGTCCTTCCAGTGAGCACTCAGGGCTGATTTCCCTAAGAATGGATAGGTTTGATCTTCTTGCAGTCCATGGGACTCTCAAGAGCACCATAATTCAAAAGCATCAATTCTTCGGCGATCAGCCTTCTTTATGGTCCAGCTCTCTCTTCCATACATCACTACTGGGGAAACCATAGCTTTAACTATACAGACCTTTGTTGGCAAGGTGATGTCTCTGCTTTTTAGGATGCTGTCTAGGTTAGCATCATATTTTGTGTCTTTTGAGTTCTGCACTGTTTTGCCCAAGTAATCCTTTTTTCAGCTTGCAAATGCATTGCCAGCCTACAGAAATGTGATAGTCCGCCCACCCCTATGCCTCTGTCACAAGACAAGCAAGCAGTAGTTTTGATAACATGCATGCTTGGAAGGAATTGTAGCTTCCAGTGACTCAGTACGCAGCTGATTTTTATGATCCACCTCTAATTATTCTATGAACAGCTTCTACCAGACCGGAAACACTTGAAGCTGAAAGGGCAGGAGGAGGGTTTGCAGGATCATTCCATGCCCCTTCCCTGAAATTTCAGCTTTCATTAAAGGTAAAAATAAGTTTCTGTTCCTCTTACTTGTCGAGATTAATGAAAAATGTGGAGGCCACATTCTTCCCAATGGCACAGTAAGAAGCTGCCTTGCATTATTTCTATGCTAAGGAGTGCAGGGCATAAGGATAACTGTCAGGCTATAGACTAAACTTAATGTTTAATATTTATAAAGTTAAAATGCATTTTGTTAAAGCTTTATATAGTTGCATAACTTTTTCATCTATTTTGCTACTGGTGTTTGGGCTCTGGGTCTTCTGCACTGATCCGTTCTCCTGCAGACATGCCCTTCTAGGCCCCCTCATGGCAGAATGGTCTGGCTCTCTGTCTGGGAAGATTGCTCAAAGCCATGTCTCTCACACTCTGCCCACAAAGCCCAAGGAATAGCAGCAGAAATAGCACAATTTAAAAAATGAGACTCAGATAGCAGTTGAGCAAGGTTTAATGGTATGTTTGTTCAGCAAGATGCCCAGCGTGATGGCTCAGTTCCTTTCCGAACAGGGTCACTTTTCTAAACAGGATATAATTTCCACTAAACTAAATACAGTTCTTCTTCTGTCTTCTTCTTCTAAATTTGCATTATATTATTTGTGCAAGGGTACAGTCCCCTGCTATTGGCCACTGAGATGTGCAAATGCTTTTATGTCAGGAGAGTGAAAGGCTCAAGAAGATTACTAATGGAGGACTAATGGAAACTACTTCGAAGAAAATAAATCTGGCGGTTGGTTTATGCAGCCTCAGCCCTGCAGCCAGAGACGAGCTGGAAGTGATCATCCCATGCCGGCCTCTCATCCTCAAATAGACCACTATGTTGTTTTTAAATTTTATTTTAAATAAAATTGTAACTGCACCGGCCAATTCCATTGCAGTCCCCAACAGCTCCCCTTGCCATTTCAGTGAACCAGCACAGCCTATCTCAGAAGCAGTCCACCTATTGGCTTGGAGTAAATTCTTGCCCTACCTATGGCAATATCCCATGGTTTTGCGGCTTAGACTTATTGCCGCCACCATTCTTCCTACCTTATTTACCACTTCCTTCAAGGCAGATGGTACCTTCCACTCCTCCAGTGAAGCATTCTTCTTTGGCGATCACTCGTAGCTGAGTAAGATTGTCTTCCATAAACACAGTTTTAACAGTGAGTCCAAAAGTGACTGTGGAGGCCAATTCTGAACCCGCACATCCTTCCACAGTGGGGACACAGGTTTCCGGGTGGGAGTTGATCACAGTGAGTGTTTGCCAACTGTGCCTTCCTCTTAGCACATTTCTCTCTTTCATCCTGAGTTTGAGCGTCTTAATTGCCCCCTGAACCCACCCAGCCAATTCCCTTCAGCTAGTTCAAAAGAAACCTAGATGGACAGGGGTCAAGGGGGAACATCAGTGCTGTAGACACACCTCCATTGTACTATGGCATCCTTCTGCGTCTGGATCTCAGTGATTTTGTCCTCAAAGTTTCCTAGAAGTTTGTTATAGCAGATTGCTTAGAGTGTGGATAACAGAAGTACACAACAGCATTCCTGATGCTTCAGAACCGCATCTGCTTTCACTTTTCTAAGCATTTTTAATCAAAAGTCCTAGAAACTCTGCTGTTTTGCTTTCTTTTTAAAAAAAATATCAAGTCATACAAAGCAAGGCAGAATGTAGCTAGATCAAGACACATCAAAGAAGCATTTCAGTTAAACGTGTTGCAGACTTTGTATGAGAAATCGGGTTGGCAAAAACGGAACTCCACAGTGCCATCTGGTGTCACAGTATTAGAATGCATAAACAACACATATAAAGTCCTATGGCAGAGTTATACACAGGTGGCTTCCAGCCAGCCCACCTAAAACTTGTTTCAATTGCCATTATGTATCATTTCTATAGAACCTGCCAGCATACGAAGTGGATTTTCCATATTCCAATGATACTGCTCTGAAACACTCCAATATGGTGCAGTTCTCTTGTGAGTCTGGCCAACTCTGTGCATTTCTTTATCTTCGGATTTGCTCGACTGAATCCATACATAGTCTGTTGCTTCAGCAAATAGTTTGGTGAAGGTCAGTGGTCCAGAACATGACAAAATTGCTCTTTCCCCGTGGGAGCTGCCCGATGATGTTTCCTTGGGTGGGAGGCCCAAGCAGTGATTGCATAACAGACAGTTCTGCATTGCAGCGGCTACAAAGCTTTAGCTCTCTTCTGCGTCCAGGCCCCATGCTGGAGGGTGGTTGTGAGTAAACATGGAGATGGAAATTGCATGGCTTATGGAAATTATAGGCTACATGAACTAAGGATGGGGGGAGTGGAGAAGCCCAGGAGGTCTTTGAAACAGCCTGTGTGGTAACTCTTGTTGACAGCAGGAATTGCAGTCTAGCGATACTCTCCTTAGTAGAACTGCCCTGTGGTTTGACAGGTTTTCCTCTTATGTGTTGCGCATGAATCTCACAAGGGTGGGATAGCAGGATAGGATTCAGTTAACTAGTCTCATTAGCAGATGCCCACACAAGGACTTCTACTATTGTAATGGGGCTCCCCCCCCATTTCCTGGCTCAGGAGGGGAAACCCCCAGGGAAACTCCCCAGGCCAGCATGCCACATGGCGGAGAAGGGATTGTTTGATCTGCCAAGCTGAAAAGTGCACACTAACAGAGGGATTGCCATAGCGCTACCTTGAATTCCTTCCTCAGGCTAGAACTGGGGAGACCAGGTTCAAGTCTCTACTTTGCCATGTTGTTCACTGATTAACCTTTGCTCAGTCACTATCTCTCAGCCTAAAGAGGATAAACTGGAAACGGGGGAAGATTGAGCAATTTCCTAACGCTCTGGGTCTTCAGCTTCCATCGGGCCCTGACATTTGGCTATGCTGCCTCCCCCCCCAAAAAAATAGATTTTATTAAAGCTTGGGGGGGAAATGATATACAAAAGTTAATATCAAAGGCTGAGTATCTTTTTAGAATACCAAAGATAAACTTATCTAAACAAAAACACAAGCCAAGAAAAGGAAGACGAAAAAGAGAGGAAGGGGAAAGGGAAAAGAGGAAAGGGAGAAAAAAGGAAAACTTCCAATTCTTCATCTGCCATATATATATATATATAAGACGATTTTCCCTATGGGCTTGCTTCACAAGACGGAAACCTCTTGCAAGTTTGTTTCCTTTTTCTTAACACCGTTAATACAGTTGCGACTTGACTTCGAGGAGCAACTCATAGCACGCGGTGTGGTAGCCTTTTTTGAGGTTTTTGAAGACTTTGGTGATTTTTGAAGCTTTTCCAAAACTTTTCCGACACCGTGCTTCGCAAGACGAAAAAAATCGCAAGACGACAAAACTCGCGGAACGAATTAATTTCGTCTTGCGAGGCACCACTGTGTGTATACACACACACACACACACACACACACACACACATATATCCAAAACATTCACTCCGCAGTAGCAGCCATGCTGGCATGAGTTGATGAGAGTTGTGAGTTCAGCATCTGGAGAGCTACAGATTCTGCAGCCCTGATTGATGCCATCCTGAATTCCTTTATGGGATAACAAATAAATAAATGAGTCCTGCTCACTGTGCATCTTATTTCACCTCATTAATAGTCCTAGCTAACCTGTATCTCTCTAAATTATGGGTACCTTCTAGTTTTGGTACAAAGGCACATCCGTGGATAATATTATTCCTGGTGAGTGACCAAGGATTTTTGTTGTTGTTGTTTAAAGCGTGGCTGTTTAGAAGCTTCCGGCTGTCCTATTGCATCCTTCCTAGCTAGGGCTGCTCTCTTCCCATTCATTTTCCTGGAGGCTTCTCCATTAGGGCAATTAATTTGCCTTTTATCTGGGGAACATCAAGCTGTCCAGTAAAACTTCCATAACCACAAATGGCCCCGCATCTCAAAGCACTTAAGTGAATTAATATTTTTTTACGATGCATCGGGGCGTGTCATGAGAAGCACTACACCACAGATAGAAGTGGAACTCTGCTGTGATATACTGCCCAGCTGCCTGGCCGAATCCTGCCTGCCTGCAATGGAGTACCCCCACATGCAGCCCACCCTGGTGCACCCACACAAGCAGAATCAGAGCGAAGTAAAGGGGCTGCATCCAGCGAGCTGAGCCTGAAATCGCATGAGCCATTAAAAAGGGGGCCATAGAGGAATGTATGCTGGGCAGTTGCACAGGGGCTCATGGGATCTATTTAGTATGCCATTAGGACAAGCCTATTTAAATGATTCCCATCTGTTGAGCGGAAGGTTAGCCAAAGCGACTCAGGGCGAGTCCTTGGATCAGCAATGGGGGTGGGAGACATAGGATGTTTAGATTGCTGGCTGGCCATTCATCATTTGTTAGCATAACGAGTCTTTATTAATGATGTTTCTCAGTCATCATGCTAGTTCAGCTATCCCAGCACTTAGCAGAATTAAAGATTGATTCTTTTTTGTTTCTGCTTTGTTATTGCTAAATCATAAAGATCTAGTCTATAAATTATTTCTGCCCCTTGCTTGTTCCATCACCCCACCTTTTTTTCTTCTCTTTTTCTTTTGGGGACGGAGGGAAGGAATGGAGAAGTGCTCCTTTATTGTGGCTGCCACATTTTCCCAGGGCAAAACGCAAGTCAGCTGCACGGTGCCAATTTGTAGAATTTCACATTCCAGTTCCGGGGAAAGAGGAGGGGGGGAAAGGATTACTCAGGCTGGGCAAGTGGATTGTTGATGTATTGCGACTGGTTGATTAGCGGTTTTCTTTCTTTCTTCTTTCTTTTCCTTTCTTTTCTTCCCTCCCTCACCCCTGCTATGACAGGAGCTGAATTCTAAGCTGCAGTCGCTTGGCAAGGTGGAATCTGCAAGCTTGTTGACACTGACCACCCAGCTTGTCGAGGAAAAGCAGCCAGCATTTGAAGTGGAAGACATTGCAAAACACAAGGAGAAGCTGAAGGAGTGGGAGCAGGAGCGGACGCTGCTGACTGAAAGGGAGAGAGAGTTGAGGGAAAAGGCCAGGCAGGAGCTGGAAGCCCAGAATGCAGCAAAAGCATCTCTTTAACGCAGAAAATTGGCTTGTGATGTGGCCTTGACTGTATGCAGATGAAACCTTTCCAGATCCATCTTGCAGCAAAAGTGCTTCTTCCCCACCCCCTTAAAAACCACTGTAATTATAATTGTTTCTCTGAAGGTCTCAGTTTTGCTTATTATGTGTTATGTCTACCTGTCGTCTAATAAAGTGATTCATTTCTAAAACAGGCTGGGTGAGACAGTACATTCCAAATGCTCTGGCCACAGTCAGTATCTGCTATTTAAAAAAGGATACCAACAGGAGTTCAAAATGTTGTCTGCCTGCTTTGTTCAAGGGATCACAAGGTGAGTTAAGATCTGGAGTCTTCTTCTTTGGAGTCAGCACACTTAAAACCACCTTGTATCAGGTCAGACCAGCTCAGACGGATTGCAGCATCCCAGGGTTTCAGGCAAGGGTCTTTCTAGCCCTGCTATTAGGCACCCTGGGCATTGGAAACCATCACCATGTGTTGAGCTGCTCTCTTCTCCATGCCCTGTCAATACAGCAGCAGGAGGCTAGATCAGCTACTAAAGGACCATGGGTGCTTCCCTGTCCAGAGAGCATTCCACAAGATGGGGGCTGGGATAGAAGAGGTTTTGTTTCTTCCAGAAGTTGACCTAGCCTACCTATAACTTGGAATCTGCACCAGGGCCTCACCTGTAGAAAGTTCATTCAGGAGGAGCCATTGCCCCAGGGGTATTAGGACACAGGCCTTTTAGCAGCCTTTTTGGTGGTGACTCCACAGGTATGTAATCTCTCTCCAGCCTTTTAGATGCAGGGTGAAAACCCACCATTTTTCGTTGGGTTTTTAGAAGCTTTTCACAGGCATTTATAGCACCACTACTTGAGAGTTATTATTGGGGCTAAATGTACCTATAATCCCAGTGAGCAAGATGGATTGATACTCTTTCACAGTTCTACGGCTTGGACAAACAAAAATGTCCAGATTATGTGCATACAGAGTGAATGTTCTTGCAGTTCGTTTTCTATCTTTGCTGTTGGCTGTTTGCCCCTTGCTGTGGCTGTGCTTTCCAACCCACATAGCAGTCTATGTGCACGACTGTAAACGTGGTAATTAGGCCTGTCAGGATACATCAGGCCCTATTCTCAGTGCACAAGATCAGCTTCGTTGCCCCCATGGTTCCTGTGTGTTAATGGACCTTTGTGGGATGGAGCTACTCTGGAGTGGCAAACCTGTAAGATAAACCTGAACTTTTGGGACTCTGGAACCTTTATACTTATTTTGCAGGCTGCATCATATTAATAACTACTATTAAAGATAGCAGCTTTGGGGTGAAGCCTGTCTGCTAAAGCTTCGACTCTTCTTCATATCTTCAGTCTTACAGTATTTGTAGTGTTCCACCTCCTAAAGAAGACTATATTTAGCCTTCTTGGGTGTTTCCTTCTTCAGAACACAGCCAAATAAGCTGATAGTCTCTCTCCCAAACCTTCCATGAGCCCCCCCTGCTCATCTGAGACTCCCTTGAAACCTTTTCCTTTCTACTCACATACTTGACATATATTTCCTGCCTGGGTCAACTGTTAAGCCAGGCTTACTACAGAGTGGGGCTTCCACCACTTTGGCCCTGGGACACTGAAAGCTCCTTGATGTGGAAAGAGAAATCATCTAGCTGCATGGATGCTTCTCATTTGGGAGATAACATGGTGAGTGAGGACATCTGATCTGTACGTATGGTGTCTCCTGCAGCTGCCTCCAGTTGTTCCAGATTCCTTGAGGACGACCATTGTATAGTCCACACTGACATGCAATATTCACAGTACAATAAAGTTTCTGGGGGAAATAGAACCTGCAATTTTTCAACAAAATGTACACATTTTTTGCATCCATCTGTCTCGGGAGGAGTGCACCTTTGGGGGTAAAGTCAAACTGTTGGAAGGTTGCAGTGCCTGCTGTGGCTGTAGAGACTGAGATGAGAGAGACATGTATTGTTGCAGCTGGGGCAGATGAAGGTGTCTGGTTGTGCTGCTGCAGATGCACCACAACCTTTCTTCTTTCTGCGCTCCTTTCAGCGGTCATTCCTCCTCTGGTCACTGATATGGATACACAACCTGTCTGTCTCTAGGCACTGCAGTCATCTAATGTACGCATAAGGATGATGTAATCCACAAGCAGAGAACTCGGGCTATACAATGGAGTTTGCTGCTTTGCATTTGTCTACTTTTCACTGGGTGAGAGAACTTGTGGATGCTACTCATTTGCCTAGCAGATTAATCCTACCCTTTTGAGATGCAAATGTTACTACTAAAAGGAAGATGCTAAGCCAGCCCTTATGGGGTCTGTTGTGCAGGTGCTATTACAGGAATTAACAGCCATGCCTTCTTGTTTACATAATGATGTGTTTATTATTCTGTGCTCCAGCATTTCCAAAGATGTCTGGGGAATTTCTGCCTGTGGTTACAGGTTGCACAGAGACTAGGTGCCACACAGCTCCAGATTCTCTGCTTCCTCTAGCAGCTTCAGTCCCTCCACAGGGAGAGCCCTGAACGGCCTCTTTCAGATAGCATAAGCACCATGATCCTCAAAACTTCTCTCACAGCAGTAACAAGTTTAGCATGGCTCTCAGTGCTGTTAATGTGAGACTTTAAAGAGTAGTGCATTTGCACATTAGCGTTGTGTTGATGGACAGTGAAGGCTATAGGAGAAATCTGGCCCTGTTTTGCCCAGCAAAGCTCTCGGCCAATTCAGAAATTACCGGATTCTGTGTATTTATTCCACATGTTTAAATGGTTACCTACACACCAATATATTTATAATGTAGGATCAGAGATAGTGGCCTGTTCCTGTTCCTTTAACAGACGCTTGATTTTTTTCAGGACTCCATAAAGAAAGCATTACATAGCAGAGAGATAAACTTCCCCACTTCCAGCTCTCTGCAGATCATGCTTCGGTTAACAAGCATAGCTGCAAGGGGCAGCTGAAAAGTTTTGCTAACCCTGGTTTGGCCTTGGGTTCAGGAAGTGCATTTTGTATTGTGCAAAGTGACAGGCACATAGAACGGGTTGCATATGTGTGTAATTTGTTTCAAATAAATAGTAATGGAGCAGCAATACTACTGGCTGACAATTTGCATGACTCAGCCAGTTTTGTAGAATGTCAACATTTTCATGGAGATCAGTGAATAATGGCATAAAAGTTGGTTGAGGATGAAATAAATGGCCAGTTCTAGTATTCTATCTATTTGTTTGGTTAAATCTATTTGTTTAACTTTCTTAAAGTTGGAGCAATAATCCTGTTTTATGAAGACAAGCATAATTGTACTACAAATTAATTGAAGAGCTTTTACGGATTTAATAATAATAATAATATACATGATTACTGGAAGTAAGTTCTCCTGTGGTCAGTGAGACTTGCAAGTGTGCTTAGGGGTACAGTAGCTGTATCTGTCAATTGCAGTTTCCTAATACACACATTTTTGTAAGCATCCTTGTACATTCTTTTTTCTGCATTTTCTTTTTGTTCCCAATTTTGGGATGCACTACTAAATTCAGATAAGTGCAAATTTCTAAGGATTAGCTCTATTCTGGTTTATAGACGCATCTATTAGGTAAGCTCATATTAAAATGCAGACTGTTTTAATTTCTCCTCCATCCCTAACTGTGCACAGGATTGTAGCCTCAGCCTTTTCCCTCTGATCTTTTTATAAGTTGTGGAATGTACCGTATTCTTCCATCCATAGGATTCATGAGCGGCAGATGGATAAGCAAGGAGCTTGCTATGGAAAGAACACCTGTTTTGGGGGAGGTGGTGGTATTCCTTTGTGGGGTTTCTGGTTCTTGTTTTTATCATGTATTTTGTGGTTTTATATTGTATTTTTATGTTGTGAACCACCCTGAGATCTGTGGATGAAGGACAGTATACAAATTAAACAAACACATCTTACAAGGGGGGCGGGGGTAGTTGTAAGGGCAACCTGCCTTTAAATAAACCTCTTTGCTTCAATCTGAATTGGCAGCTTTTGATTGGGGGTTTCGTGTGTCCAGCAATGCGTACAAAATATCTGCATACTAAGAGTTCTGTTTCATTTGAAATGCAAATTGCTGATGCAAATTCGCAGCAGCCTCCGAATACTTTAATGAGTAGGTAAGCAAATATACAACTTCCCTCCCTTCCCTTCATTATTCACGGCGCTGTCAATCCAATAGAGAAGGTCAGTATCCATTATTCACAAGAGGGAAATTGCACATGTAATTCCCTCCATCTCAGATCAAGGCTAGTCTGTATTTTGCTGTCATAGAATCAAGATGCAGTAGTAGCAGAGCTGGTAAAAGGGCATTAATAATTCTGATCACATTCAGAACAGTGAAACAGCAAGATCCAGCCTCCAGATATTATAGCTGGTTAAAATAGAATATGACTGGCATGCCAGACAGTTTGCATTGTACCCTGCCTTTTTTTCTAGGTGCTGTTGAATCGATCAGTATCATTTTGCCTTTGTCCTTTGCACTGATGTCGGTTTGTGTGGACCCAGAATCTTAAAGCCCCAAGAACAGCCTGGCAATTTTGTTTCAATCTTTTCAGACATGGAACTGCAATCATTTAAGCATCTTTCAGTACTGAGATACCAGGAAAATGGGGAGTCAATGCTGTGTTATGCAGTCAATATATAAGCCTGATTATTATTGGTACTGTTTTTGTGGTGTTTTCTGTTTTGTTGTATGCCCCCCTGATGGTTTTTGATAGGTCAGTACAGTGGTACCTCGGGTTAAGAACTTAATTCATTCCGGAGGTCCGTTCTTAACCTGAAACTGTTCTTAACCTGGAGCACCACTTTAGCTAATGGGGCCTCCCGCTGCCGCCACGCCGCTGGAGCAAGATTTCTGTTCTCATCCTGAAGCAAAGTTCTTAACCCAAGGTACTATTTCTGGGTTAGCGGAGCATATGTAACCCGATGTACCACTATATATGCTTTTTAATAGATTAAAATATGCATATTGTAAGTCAGCACTCCTGCATGTTTCCTCCTGAAATGCAACTGGCACCTGCATTTCTGGCCTTCCAGTGCCAGCTGAAAGCCTGGCTCTTTGCTTGGGTGTTTGAGCAATAAAGGTGCTGTTTTGGAATTCTTGCTCCTGTCCTTTGTATTTTTATCAATTTTAGTTTTGAATTAGATGTTCTTATTCCTTTTATTGTGCACCACTTACATATCTTTGGGTGCAAAGTGGTAT